CAGAGACACCGCCCACAATGATGCTTTTCATTTTCAGTCCAGGGAGTTGATTTCCAATTTGCACAGTGCTCTGTTGAGGAAAAGGACAGTCGGTAAGAAGCACTATCATCCTCTGTGACACAGACAGCCCACTTTCTGTAGTGATGGAGTCACGCAGTAGCTGACAGTAGATTACAGAAAAAATATCAAAGCAGTGAGGAGCTGGACATCTGAATGTGGCTTTTTACAGACTTGTTCACATCTCTTAAAATTAGGCTTAATAAATTAATACAACTTCATTAGGCACAAATCACTGCAGAACATGGCTCACAGCATAAGTATCTGCCCACATTCCTTTATCCTACTTTCTCCTAAAAACATTCCTGTAGTGCTTAGTGGCAAAGTTATGATGCTGCCTTACCTGGTACATCCCATAGTCCAAGGACATGACAGCGAGGTACTTGATGTCTTTACCATCTTTAGCACTCTTCAGCTCTATTAATAAATGATGCCATTCCCCATCACTGACTCGTGACTGGCTCATCTTCAAACTAGCAACCTGGCTCAGGCCACTGTATACTTCAAACTGCACGTAGTTGTTCAGTATCTGTTGAAAAAAAAAAATCATGTCTATTTTTTGCTACGTATTTGTATTTGACGTGGAAGGGGGCAGAGGGCAAGACAATAATACTTCCTAAGACAACCCAAAAGGAAAAAAAGACCAAACAGTAAAGAAGGGAACACTTGCAATAACTTCTCGTGTAACTTTGGACATTCAGACTCTAACTTACCCTACTGACAAAAAAACCCTCAAACAATCAAGAGACATTTTTTGCATCTATATTAATGCACACTACTACCATTGTTTAGAAAAAAAATCTTAAACCAACGAATCTGAATTTTACAATGATTGTTGATCTTTTGATCTTTGTAAAAGGCTGAACAAAATGATTTGTATTTATTGATGTGCATTTAGCTGGGTGGATAAAGCTATATAGTTCATGTGGTCATATCCCCTGATGGGGGAGAATTTCTTAATTCTTTTCCAACCAAAGGCAATGCAGTTTTACCTGAATGTTGATCTTGGATGCAGCCCCAGCATTGGCTTGCATTAACATGCCATTGACTTTCCGGGTTCTGAACATCAGCCCAATGTACCATGGCACAGAGATGGTAATGTCAAGGTCACTCCAAATGATAATGCTTTCACCACTGAAACGCTGAGGAGAAGGCATTGCTGTAAATCAAAAAACAGGAGAGAAACAGTTGATATCCTTCAGGACAAAGGTTAAGAGGAGAAATGATGCTACGTCGCGGTGACGGTGCAAGGTAGCTAGTCCCTCTTCCATTGAGCTATTTTTAATCTACGATGGAGTAACAGCTGGCCTAGGGGAGTTACTGTGAAGCAGCTGATAATACTGCAAATTCACAAGCCACCCTTGTTGTGGGGTAGGCACCTTGTCTTGGTGCCTGCACTCAAAGGCAGCACCTCCACACTGCTATGCCATTACACAGGTGAGAGATGTTCCTAGAAAGGTAAGCTCTGGATCTCTACTGATACAGTTCTGCTGATGAGTGGGTGGACAGAGCAGGAAGTATGAGGGCAACACTTTCTGCAGATGTTTTCAACATATCCTTGATTACCCACTTCTAATTAACAGATTAAACACAGAGGAACAGGCTGGGAGGCAACAGGAAATATAATTAATTATAAATACTCCAGGGCCAGATTATTCAGCTGTTGCAGCTACACAGACTTTTCACAGGGAGAAACCTCATGTGGAATTGCCAAAATCTTCTGCCTTAAATATCTCACGGCGACAGCTGAAGAGTTGCCCTCCTCTCTAACCCTGCACGAACACAGCTCCTACAGGGAGACACTGATGACAGCCTTCAATGGAAAGCACTTTGCTGATGGAAAACAGGGGAACACCCACCCTTTGGACTTTTAAAGTAGTTACCTCAGGTAACAGGAGCTACAGTACCACAGATTAGTGGATCCCACTAATTAGAAGCACAAATCAAGTTGTGGGAGCTCTGTGCTATTTGCAGCACCCCGTATGGCACCTCCACCATGCACGGCACCTTGTAGCGGGATCTGCAGTCAGTGCCTGCCTGATGTCCTCACTCATGACCATGCTGGTGAAGTTCATGGCAGCTTTTTGCAAGTGGAAGTAGGCCCTAGAGACTGGGTACAACCACCACATGTTGGCACCCAGTGTTGTATCTCGTCATGTGCTGAGCCCATGTGGATGGTCAGTGAGATGACAGGGCTTAACAGTCCCCTTCCCCTTCTGCTCCACACTACTGTATCTGCTGGCTCTTCTGGATGTTCTTGTAGTAGGAAGGATCATGTATATATACAAATGCGTACATCTTACTATAAAATGGCAAGTCCTTAGAAAAAGGTAGAGGGACAACATCACTGCAGAAAATGGAGTTAGGCTGATGTGAACTTGCATTTTTTGGAGGGAAAAACCCAAACCCCAAATTCTGATATGTCTGCTTGCCAGTCTCTGTAAGGGTAAAGGCTGTGCGTGTGGGAGCGCAGGGGTAGGAGGGAAGTGCTGTCTGCGAGCCCTTCAGCTCCCTAATTGTGAGAAACAAGATGTCAATGACAAGTGGACTATCCCTAGCCAAGTCAGAGATGTAACTTGACTTGCCCTTCTCTAAGATGTCGTTACCCAACCACCCCACCCCAGGGTAAGTGCAGGCAGCCCCAAAGGGCAGCCCCTCTCCCTCCTGCTCCAGGCTGTGATCTCCCCTGTGCAGTCAAACGCAGTCCTCCATGAATGCTAGTGGGGGCATATGGTGGAATAACCGAAGCTTAGCCTGCTCTTGACACCCAGATAGCAATTTAAAATGGTTTGCCACCAGACATAGACGTTCCCAGCTTGCTTAAAACTGTAATCCAGTGCTTGAGCTCTGGCTGTCTGGGCCAGGGCACAATTCATCAGTCCGCACAGCACCACATCAACGTAGAATTAACCAGGACATCAGTGTTGAGCATGATCATTTCCACCTTCTGATCCACATATGCAAAAGTCAGCCCTCTCTTTCCTCCTCTACCATACCAACCTTCACAATGACCTCAATTCCCAACTTCTTTGATGGTGGTTTTCTAGACCGTTGCTGAGATTTTTCAGTCTGCCTGCCTCCAGAGAGCAGAGCTTCCCACCTGCCGGTGGCTGGGAATGCTGCTTGCAAGCATTTCAGCTCAGCTCCTGGGAGAACTGGACTGGCATGGCAATTAGCTGCCTTCTTCCTTTTCTCACCGGTGGTGACTTTTGGTGCTTGCAAATACCATTCCCTTCCCACACCTCCTCCCAGCTCTCCTCCCTTCCCTGGGGCCAGGGTGCACCTTCCCCTGCTACTAAAACAGAAATCCCCATCAGTCAGCCCTCTCTGACCTCCCTCCTGCCCCCAGCCCTTCCCCATGCCTGGGACCAGGGGTGTCCGTGGAGGGGCTGGTGGCCACATACGATGACCCCAGAGGGGACCTGACCACCCCTGTCACCACAGAGGCATGTGCTTCCAAGCACAGCATCTCCCTGCCAGCGGCGACGCAGTGATGTGAACCAATTGTTTTCTCAGGGTTTGTCACTTTGAAGTGCTGCCTGTGTATCTACATAAAATTTTAAGAATCTCCTACATTTAAAAGGCGATCAGAAAGATGTGAGGGCTCGTCAATGTGAAGACAGAGGGCCTGGGGAAACACACTGCCAACACCAGAATGTCACCTGCAGTTTGGGTGCAGGACATATGACAGCTTATGTTTTGGTGCAAACCTGTGGTGTTCAGCCCAAGGTCAGCACAATGACAGCCAAGAGCAAGTCGGGCACAGCTGCTAGATCTTCTTCACAGCATTGCAAAATCTCAATTTTTAAAAGAACTGAACTACAACAGAGGTGAAACTCATTTTTCCTGAATTTTATGTCTCTTCTATATGTCAGCAGAGGGAGATGGGAGCTGCCAGAAGGTGAGTCAGCAGGTCCTAGCAGGGTGGTGAAGGTAAAACACCCCATCCTCACTAGCAGACCAAATCCCAGAGTTTCTGAAGAGTGAGCAGTTGAAAAAGTTGAATTCTTAACCTGCCAAAGCCATTGATGTCTGTGAATCTGAAGCAGATCCAGCAATGCCAAAGGGATTGAAGAAATGCATCAGGCAACCACTCCTTCACAAGAATTCAAATATTCTAGCTAAAACTTTATAAAAAAATAGCTTCCTAATAATAGCTAATGCTGTTAGGATCATATCTGAGCACTCAAATGAGCAACCTGAAAGCTGGGAGTATTGTGTGTCAGTGATTTCTCCTGACTTTAACTTCAGGGTCTTGAAATCTTTGGTGACATTTCAGAAAAAATCATTTCTGTATTGGCTTGCAGTTTTTCCTTAGGGAAAGTTTATGCCCCATGAGTATCATCAAAGAAGAAAGCAGGCTGCTGCCCTCAAACTATAAAAATCACACACAAATTGAGGCAATAGCAAGAACTTGGGGTTACGGAATGACAAAGAGGACATAGGCATGCACAGCACTGGAGGCAGAAGAGACTGCAGGATGGGTCAGGGGACGATGATGCTGTGGTTGTCGTCATCTGTATTACTTGAACTTAAAATGAGTTTCTAATGATGGCTACAGGGCAGTTCTGAGCTGATTTTCTAAATCCCAAACTTCATGTTTTGGTCTTGAGTTTGGGATAAGAAAATGATGACTAAAATACACATTTGTCTGAATTTTGAAATTCCTTTTCAAAACTAATATAAAGACAGAGGGAAGGATAGTCTTTGCATGCAGTAGCACTAATCCCCATTTACTCCAATACAGGTCACACCAGAATTGGGCCCTGGCACCCTCTCAGCAGACATCAGAGTGGGTTTGTACCACAGAGACTAGCCTATCATGAAGAAAACACCAGAACTTCACTGACAAAGATACTTGACATGAGATACATGGAAAAATCAGATCTTCTTACAAACCTGGAGAGATGAAAATATTTGAGGAGCTGCTATAGAAAGCAGGTACCTCACCAGGGGCAGTAACAGCAGTTCTGAGTTCTGTGTGAGGTGGAACATAGGAAGATGTCTCAATCATTCCTTTCCCCTGTCCCTCACCCCGCAGACCCTTATTTCCAACCCAGAAGTTTAACTATGTGTCCTCTCCTCCTAAGCTGCTGCTTCTTAGGCAAGGAGAGGGCAGTTGCCACCACCTAGATCTGGCCCAGGCTGAGGCACACTGTGTTAAAGCGGTTTGCAAATCACTGTGGTGTGTGCATCTCTGCTTGGAGACTGCTATTCCAGGGTTCATATCCTGCTGTGAAAAATCACACGTCTGATTCAGGGTAGATACATCAAAAGAACAAAATCCTCAATCACACTGCAAACTATTCTGGGCTAAGTGACTACATCAGTGGACAAGGGAAGTGCTATGGATGTCACCTACCTGGACTTCTCTAAGACCTTTGACATGGTCCTCCAAAACACCCTTCTGCCTGAATTGGAGAGATATGCATTTGGTGGGTGGACTGCTTGGTGGATGAGGAAATGGTTGGATGGTCGCATTCAGAGGGTGGTGGTCAATGGCTCAATGTCCAGACGGAGATTGGTGACAAGTGGTGTCCATCAGGGGTCCATATTAGGACCAGGACTGTTTAATATCTTCAGTGATATAGACAGTGGGATCAAGTGCACCCTCAGCTAGTTTGCTGATGACACCAAGTGACACACTGGGTGACACAGTTGACACGTCTGAGGGAGGGGATGCCTTCAGGAGGCACCTGGAGAGGCTTGAGAAGTGGGCCCATGTGAACCTCATGAGGTTCAACAAGGACAAGTGCAGAGTCCTGCACCTGACTTGGGGCAATCCCTGGTATCAATACAGGTTGGGGGGTGAAGGAATTGAGAGCAACCCTGCTGAGAAGGACTTGGGGATACTGGTGGATGAAAAGCTGGACATGAGCTGACAATGTATGCTTGCAGCCCAGAAGGCCAACTGTATCCTGGGCTGTATCAAAAAAATTGTGGCCAGCAGGTTGAGGGAGGTCATTCTGCCCCTCTGCTCTGCTCTGGTGAGACCCCACCTGGAGTACTGCACCCAGCTCTGGAGCTCTCAGCACAGGAAAGACATGGACCTGTTGGAGCAGGTCCAGATGAAAGCCACAAAAATGACCAGAGGGCTGAAGCACCTCTCCTATGAGGACAGGCTGAGAGAGTTGGGGTTATTCAGCCTGGAGAAGAGAAGGCTCTGGGGAGAACTTATTGTGGCCTGTGGTACTTAAAGGGGGCTTATAAGAAAGACGGGGACAAACTTTTTAGCAGGGCCTGTTGTGACAGGACAAGGGGTAATGGTTTTAAACTAAAAGAGGGAAGATTTAGATTAGATATAAGGAAGAAATTTTTTACAATAAGGTTGGTGAGACGCTGGCACAGGTTGCCCAGAGAAGTGGAAACATTCAAGGTGAGGTTTGAGGGGGCTCTGAGCAACCTGGTCTAGTTGAAGACATCCCTGTTCATGGCAGGGGGGGGGGACTAGAAGACCTTTAAAGGTCCCTTCCAACCCAAACTATTCTATGATTCTATGATAAGTGTCACAGGGGGATAATGGATACAAAGACCTACCACACCTGCATCAGAAGCCAGAATTTGGCCTTCTGTTTCTAGGAAAGCCATGCATAGTTTAAGCAGGTTTTCTTTCCTGGAAGCCTCCAGGAAGACTCCAAATGAACAACCCTCCACTAGATGTGGGGGTGCCACCTTACAGCAGGCAGCCTTCTGCTGCAGTAACCTCACAGGACCCCTCATGCAGACAACTCCTCACTTCCTTGGGAAGAAACTAACTGCAAGTTCTTCACGCCCTATAAAACACACCTGCTGCTCCTTCCTCGTCCTTTATTAATGAGGTTTTACACATATACCCACATTGTGTTCAATCAAAGAAAAACCCAATAAAACAGAAAGTGTTCACACTCAGCAGAGACTGCCTTCTTGCCAAGAAAGCAGTGATTAAAACTGCACATTCATCCCTGGTTTGAGTCAAAGCCCAATATAGTCAGCGGGATTCTTTCCACTGATTTAAAGGGGCTTAAGATCAGGCATTTTTACTATAAACAAATTACTAAATACTGCCAAATTCTGTGGAACTACTTTGCTTATGTAAGTAAACCAATTAAAGCTGCTGTTATTCATGACAGTATGTCAGCTATCATATTTACTACATAGGCAATCTCTGAATATATTTCAAATAGATAATGGGTGATTTTTAGTCTTAAATGCAATCTTCTGGTATCTGTCCTTTAAACATCACAGTTTGACATACATGCTATGAGATGTTAATGATGGGTAATGAAACCCGCACACATGACTATGCATGAAGAGGTCTATGCATCCTACCTTGCTCACAGTTTTTCCCTCCATAGCGTACGGGGCACTCGCAGATGTAAGTGTTCCACTTGTTGACGCACGTGCCTCCATTCTGGCACCAGCTGGTTTCGCAGTAGTTCCTCTGTGCTGCACAGCCTGAGTTTTATGCAAAAAGAAGACATGACCATTATAGGTTTGGATTTTTTTTTAATATCCTTGAAGTCAGTGAAGCAAAGTGTGGATTGCAAAAGTTTACATGAGCTGAGTAAGTATCAAATTCATAAAGACAAATCTATCAAAGGCTATTAAATACAGTCACTGAGCTGTAAATTGCTGGGGACTAAGAGAAATTTTTGGGGAAATATCACCGCATGCTTGTCCTGTTTTTACACTTCCCCTGGCATCCACCGCTAGGAACAGGCAGATTGACTGGTGCTGCAACTCAGCACCACTGTTCACAACTTACCGTCATCTAACTGACGCACCAACCAGGGAAAACCAATACGCAGTGTTACACAGTGGAGTAACACTACTATATATCATCGTTTTAAAATATATGGAAACATGTTTCCAAATGAGGAAAAAAAAAATCCATCCTGAAGAAAACACTTTGTGTCCCTCCTGATGTATATTTCCGTAAGATAAAAACTTGCACTTAACTAATATTAGAGACATAACTGTTAAAAAAGGGCTCCAAGACAAAAGAGGAATTTGAAGCTTATGCTATGACTCCCTTCTTAATCCGTGATCAATGCAACATACCTAAGAATTGCAATTTAGCTCTTACACAGACCTTCAGCAGGGTGGAAGGAAGGGACTTGACACTCTCGTGTGTAAGAGACAGTTTTATGATGATGAGAACATTTTGTACACCAGAACTAATCCTGACCTGGGATCCAGGGACTGGAAACCAAATCAGAAACTCCAAAAGTTTGCTTCATGAAGCAGGTTTCAGATTTGGAGGACTGCAGAATTTGGTTTACAGAACAAACATAATTTATGAAAAAGTCATTAAAAATGTTGTCTTTTTCGTGAACTACTCCCACTGGCTTTCAGAGCAAAGTGACATTTAAAAGGTAATTAAAAACAAAAAAAATAAAGAGGAGAAGTTCATTTAGGATTAAATTCCTGTGTGAAACTCATATCAATGCAGAAGGCCTAAACAAGCCTGGTCCTTTTCTGCATGCTGCTTAATCCTGTAAGCGTGCGCTGTGCCACAGGCTATTGTGTGTGTCCCTGGCACGGGCACAGACTGCTCCTTGCTCAAACAAACGAGGTGTGCCGAGCAGGTCTGGTTGCAGCCGTGCCGGTGACGTGGTGGCAGCGCAATGCCCAGCAGCACCTCGAGCCCCTGCCACCGTGTCTGGGGCAAATGCTTTACACTCAGCAGTGCTAACAGAGGGACAGGGGCCATTTCAGACCCCGCTGTCCCCTGCCCCCTCCTGGGCTTCCTCCCAGTGCCGGCCCCTTTGACATCCTAAGCCCTGTTACACACACAGCTATGGCAGAGAGTTTTCTTATGTTGACTTTTGAGGTGGTAGTCACTCATACCTGGCAGGGTGCCATTATTGGCGATGAAACTAGCCATGTCGATTGGCTTGCTGTCGATAGAGAGGTTCCTCATGCAGCCGATAAACTGTCTGTTGTGCACCGGGAAATCTTCAGGCAAGTTTGGGACACCACCAAGGAGGAGAGGGCCAGTTAGGTCCAAAGATCTGAAAAAAGAAATGCTCGTCATTTCTTGCATACAGTTTGTTTTGTTTTGTTCTTTCTCTTACTGTTTCCATAAGCGCATTTGAGCTGTTTAGTTTACCCGTATTGCCATGCACTTCCCTCTGCTACATCAGCACTTCTAGAGTTTGTAATCAAAGGACCTTCTAGAAACACCATAACTTTTAACTTAGGAGCTGTCATACACATACAGAACCAAAGACCTGTCCCTAACAGTGGCCAATATGAAGAAAAAAAAAAAAATTATGGAAAAATATTCCAGCTGCAGTACAATTCTTTCTGACTCCAGTCACCCAGGGGCTGGCTTATACTCCACGGCACAAGGGTTGAGATGCTGGAGATTTTGATATGATGACTTAATTATTATACATTGCCAACCCTTCTTAAATCCTCTGAAGATCTTAGTCTTAATAACATTTGGTGGAGGCAGGTTCCACTGAGTGACTCCACACTGTATGAAAAATATATCATCTGGGCAGTTTAAATTAACTCTAATTTTTGTGGTCCCTCCAGCAGCATGGGCATCTCAATGGTTTTTCTGCTATCACTCATTATTTTATATCCCCACTATGTTGCTTGCTGTCCATCTCGTCTTTAAACTCAGCAGTACTAATCTTTTTGGTCTTTCTTCACAGGAAAGTTTTTTCTTTTAAGACAGGACTGTTAACTTAAATATGCTCTTCCTCCATCCTATTCATTCATAAAGTCTAACATTTTATTTGCCCTTCTCTCTACATTTTCACACTGACTAGATGTTATTTGGGGGCCATCCACACTGACCTCCAGGTGTTTGGGGTTTCTTTGCATTTTACAAGTAATTTGGGCACATATCTACACAAAACTCTGAGCATTCCATGCAGTGTGCTGACACTTGCAGTAGCCTCCAACAAATTTCATCTACCAAACTAAACCTTGTCACTTTTTCTTGTTAAACCATCTCTGCTTTTCCAACTTAATTTGCTTAGTGTTTAATGACATACTGTTGACTCTCCCCTGGAAGAAGAGAATGAGTGGAAAAATGCAGATATAGGGAATCCTTACTTCTTTGAGCCGGTCTGAGTCCCCTGGGCAGCACAGGTGTAGTTTCCAATGAGGCTCCCGAAGCGCACAGCCACTGCTGTGTCACAGTCATCCACAGTCACCACAGCCACCTTCTCTCCTGAAGGCCCATGAGGAATTCCTAATCGCCCAATGTTGGGCTTCAAGAAACACATGGTACACGTCACACAATGCTACATAAACATGGGATTTAAATGCTGGTTCAGCCAGCTCAACAATATACTTCTTCCTACCCCGCAAAGGGGACTAAAATAGGATATGTAAACAAAATAGCAGAAGTTAAGTTGACCTATGACATTTAGGCAAGAAAAAACCCTAACGGATGACTTTAAAGAGAGTCCACATGCGCCCAGTGTGATA